TACCTGTATGGGTGGTACACCTGGATGGTTTACCTGTATGGGATATCTATATAGCATAAATAGGGTTAGCTTCGCGTTAGTTTCCTGTTTTAATCTTCTTCTTTGAAGATGATCACTTGGTGATCGAAACACGTGTCGAGGTGTTGAAAATAACGATTTGGTGTTGGGAAAAAACTCCAGTAATATTAATGTCACATGATGAATGAACGAAAAATCGTCAATGCCAACTTACGTCTCATTATATCGAAGTCATCGTACATGAAAGTAACAACAGACTTAGCTAGATCCAGAATGAATTCTGGGAAATATTTTTGATCCTCGGCTAAACAGTTTCTTGTTTTTCTTATAGCCTCTCTGCTGCACTCTTCTAAATTGGCGAGGAATTCGGCTTTGGGAGTAATGAATATCGTTTTTCTACCAGCACATCGTTTCATTTGGCTATATGTAGTCTGAAAAAAGTTGAGGTATATAAAATGCTCTGAGTGAATTGAATGTATGTCAATTTATGATATATCCATAGTTACATTTGCTGATTCATAGAGCTGTTGATTCTCCAAAATGAGAAAGAAACAATCGACAACTAAATCCTTGATGGAATTTATGGAAAGTATTGAATCAAAATTACTTACAATTGAGTGTTTATGAAGTATTGAAATAAAAAAAAAACTAATAAATAGAGTTTATTCTTTGATTTTCATTATAAGGGTTTTACAAAAACCGCTATAACAAAAAACACTATAAGGGTTTTTGTAAAACCCTTATAGTGAAAATCATAGAATAAACTCTATTAGTTTTTTGAATATGGATTTTCATCAAGTATCGGCCAGTTNTTTGCTTTGTGTTGCTAATGATGAAGATTTCAACCGATTGCTATTTCACACAGAAGTGCGTTGGTTATTAAGAGGTAACTGTCTGACTCGAAGTGGGCGGTAGACAAAATTATTTTGAGAACCTCTGACTCGTACACACTTCTCCCAGCGATGTTCCATCTCTGTAACCTGTCCAAATAGTATTTGGGGTTTTTCTCTGCAGAATAATTTCCTCTTCATTTGACGAAAATCTCTGTCCTCTGAGTGCAATTTTCAGATGAGGGGAACAAAAAGAAGTCGCTTGGGGATAGATCTGGTAAGTAAGACGGATGGTCAAGCAGTTCTGACCGTAACTCGTGGACTTCTGTCATGACAACCGCTGAGGTGTAAGACGGTGCGTTGTCTTGGTGAAACAGAATTTTCTTGTTCTGAAAATGTGGCCGTTGTTTTGCAAGTTCTGCCACCAGCTTGTCAAGTAATGATGTGTTGTATGCTGTTGTGATTTGGTTTTCCCCTTTGAAGATAATCGATTGAAATAACTTAATGATTATTCAAAAACTAGTCGTCATCAGTTTTCCAGCCAAAAAATTAGTTTTTGTTTTTCTCCTTTACAGTCCACTGTTTGGACTGTATTTTTGTTTCGGGCGTATAATGATGTATCTGAATTTCATCTACAGAAATGTTCATTCGAATACGAATATATAAATGGAAATTTGAATAAATTAAATATATTCTTATCGAAAAATTGGATCACTTCATGAAGATGGCGATTATAATAATATGCGGTTCTTTTGAAAGCTCTCAAAAATATATCTCATATATCTCTAATCATTGAGGGTTGTGTTTTGACTTTACCGAATTGAACGGTCAGAGAAATAGTTGAGAATAGGTAAAATAACTGAAACATCTAGTTTTCACTATTATAGAATCAAGATTTTCCGAGTGTGGAGAATCATACATCGGTGAAACTAAAAGGCCATTGAAAGTTCGCATTGCCGATCACAAAAAATACATACAGCGAAGAGAAACCAGCAAATCAGGAATAGGAGAGCACGTTTGACATCAACATAACATCAAGTGGGCTCAAGCTAAAATCATTCTCATAGTGGAACACTGGTTAAGGAGAAAATTTAAAGAAGCCGCCTATATGTTGTTCAACAACGCATTTAGCCAAGCTAGCGTAGAGATACGCAACATATGGAAACCTCTTATCAAGCGGAACACGACCAAATCCCGCCAAACGATCAGCTTCCGCTAAAACCGATCAGCCGGAGAGAAGAAAGAGGGGAGTGAAAGCACTTGAATGACCTATAAATAGTCAGATCTCGGACGGATAAGTCCAGCACCGAAGCGATTTTCTTAGACGTCTCCAACGCGTTTGACAGAGTCTGGCATGACGGACTTCTGGCCAAAATGATCAACTTTGGCTACACGAAACCAATGGTAAGATTAATCGAGTATTTTCTAGCTGACAGGCCGCTGCAGAGTAGGACAAGAACTCTCAACGATGCGATTAATGGAAGTAGAGGTCCCACAAGGTGCAGTCCTTTCGCCACACCTCTTCTCGGTATACGCAGCAGACGTGCCCAAGCCGGAGAACAACTTTAACAAGTTGGCACTCTATGCGGGCGACACAGCTCTGCTGGCGAGATCAACAAGCCAAGCGCACGTCACTAGATACTTGCAGCAACAGGCAGATAGATTAGAGGAATGGGTCAACCTATGGAAGATCAGTATAAACCCTGACAAGCGTCAGGCAATACTGTTCACCCGGAGGAGGGTACATCCGGAAGGAAATGTCATCTTCAACGGACAAGAGATTCCGTGGACCAAAGAAGCTAGATACTTGGGGGTCAACCTAGACAAAGGATTAACGTTCAGGTCTCACATACGGTAGAGAATAGGAATGACGAGATCTGCACGACAAAATCTATTACCAATAATAGGTCGAAGAAGCAACATGGGACTGAAAGTGAAGCTGCTGATGATAAAGACTGTTATATTACCGACAAAAACGTTTAACTGCGTTGATCATAAAATACTGCTACGAAAGCTGAATGAATATGTAGAATATGTAGAGGGATAACACTACGATGGTTTGAGTCGCAGTCAGATTGTGAAAATGAATAAATGTTCAAACAGTATTGAAATAAATACTGGTGTACCACAGGGATCGGTTCTCGGTCCCATATTGTTCCTGTTGTATATTAACGATTTGATGAACCTGGAACATTCACTCTTTTCGCTGACAACACCACTATATTGTGGCATAGTAAAGGTATAGATATACTCAATGAGGCAATAGCTCATGATATACAAAAAATCAAGTCTTGGTGTGATTCTAATCTACTCTCCTTTAATATTTCGAAAACAAATATTATGACTTTCAAATGTTCACTTCAGAATTTATCTGTAGCGAGCGGTATCATGGAGAACAGAGAGTGTACTAAATTTTCGGGGGTGTATATAGACGATGGACTGAAATTTGACGCTCACATCAGAAAAATGAAAAGTGAAATTTCACCGACTGTTATGCAGTGAGAGTTATTGCTAGAGAACTGGAAGTTTAAACTGCAAAAACAGCATATCACGCTTTGGTAGAGTCTAACTTAAGGTACGGTATAACTTTTTGGGGTGTGTGTAGCCCTAATTTGCTGGAGTCTGTATTTGTATCACAGAAGACAGCTATACGATACTTGTGCAAAGCTGAACTTCGTGACTCATGCAGGCAACTGTTTATAGATAAAAAAAAACTGACAGTTGTAGCTCTTTTCATTCCGGAAATAATGTATTTAATTGAGAAACATCTTGTGAAACTTGAGGTTACCACCGATCTTTATACAACTCGTCAGAGCGTGCAAAAAAATTGAAAATTACCTATTCATTGCAACTCTCTGGTCGAGGACTCCTTATTTTACAATGGTGTGAAGATGTATAACCACCTGCCGGGTTACACTAAAGAGATGAATATTGATACCAATCAGTACAGAACAATGATTAACGAAATTTTGAGTGGTAGACCCTATTACAGTTTGATTGAGTTCTATACCGATCATTTTTAACTTTGCATGTTTTATGTGTATGTATGTTTCAACCATGGTTTGTGGTTTTTTTATTCAGTGTTTTCATACTTAAGTTTACATTATATTTTATCTATATTTTTATATTCGTATGACATTTATGTATTCTTTTATATTTATTCATTACCTTTGTCAACAATATTTTTTCTTTGGACAATAAAGTATATACAGGCTGATTCACGGTGGATGGCACATTAGACGTTTCTGGTGAACCAGACAACGGATCACTTTGAAAATTTAATGGAGGGCATATTCGGACATTCTCTAGCCAACTAAAATATTTTCGACAATGCGGTGTTGCCGCTTCTATTAGAAAGCAGTAGCAACTTTGATTTTTCAAATGGAACACTCTGTATATAATATTA